CAATAAAACTTTGCCGCCATGATAAAGCCAAAAGTAGAGAAAATTGCGATAAACACTCAAAAAATTAATCAATCAATCGTCGATTTTTCATCAGATAATGAACTTTTAATATAAGTTTTACACGTTCTCACTACATGACCTCGACGAAAAAAATAGTCCTTCTAGAAATACATCGCCATAGTAACATAATTATCATGTATTTAAAAGTTACATAAGTAATAAAACAGAATAATGAGAAAAACAATCACAGTTAAAATGATGGATGAAGGGATGGGTTGGATTTTAATACAATATTACTTTATTATACGAAACTAAATGACCTTCTGCTAAAGCCTGCGGTGAAATGTACATCGACATAAGAAACATTGCATATACATGACATCACGCACTCGACTAATTACTTATATGTCTCCAAAGTTATCTCATTTATATAAAATAAAACTTAAAAAATTACCATACTTTTCATTTTAAAGTCCTTTCTGTTAAGGTTAACGTCTGGCGGTTCTGTCATGCGGTTGCACTTTATAATGGACTGATACATGTACATGTTCTACAATTCATTATTTTTAAACCGAGGCATAAATCCCAAAATCCCATATATAAAAGTCATACAAATGCATTGTCCGAAAACATAAGGTTACAACTACAATTACAAAATTGACCTTACTAGATGGATGGCTATCATTTTCGGTCCTTTTTGTTGATGTATAGCTCTTCACTTGTTTCGGTTCTTATACATCCATGGCTTTCAAATGTTTGGCTTTAGTCATTCCTGGTAAAGATAAATCCAGGAGGCGCTCCGGACGCATACAATTTGCAAAGTGTTATTTTCAATTTTTAACCTTTTTTGACAATTATTATGTATACCTAAATAAAACCATAAAATCAAAATAAACTTCTAAAAGTATGTATGGTTTTACACTAGTAATTTTTGGGGCCCTTTATAGCTTACTGTTCGGTGTGAGCCAAGGCTCCATGTTGAAGACCGTACTTTGACCTATAATGGTTTACTTTTATAATTTTTGACTTGGATGGAGAGTTGTCTCATTGGCACTCATACCACATCTTCTTATATCTATATAAGTAAACAATTATTAACCTAGGTCTGTTCATTTTGACCATCTATACCACAAGGACTGTATATTACACAATTACTCTAAAACTTGAAAATTAGAACTACCAAATGTACAACACTGCACTTGTACATATATAGAGTTCTTTTTTTTTTTCTCTTGGAGAATTTGTTTGTCCCTTTAGTTTAGGCATGGTGATGTCTTTCTTTCCCTGACAGATAGTGGTGAATCGCCCATTGTTATCTTGTTAGTCTTAGTGATACAAAAATTATGCAAAGATACTATTAATTCAAAATTTATACACAGTGATGAAATGTTAAAATGTTAATGTAAATATTGTTTTATATAAAAGTAATAGGTACGTAAATAGGTGATGTCACGGATTTTTATGATGATTTGCAGCCAACTAGAGCAAGTGGAACTGCACATGAATATCAAAAACAACTAACTATTATGCTTTTGGAAATTTAAAAGATAAAATATTTTGTAGAAAGAAGTACAAATGTATAGGATGCACGTAACTTGATATCGCTATTTGACTATTAATTGCATTCTCTGGAAAAACCTGTCCTACGAATTTTATTCAAAGCCATTAAAATTTCCGTTTTATAAAAATCAGGGGAGTCCCCGAATTCGGGTTTTGCTGTATAAGTTATTCAAGTGTATCTGTAATATCTAAAATCGTCTAAATATTAGAGTTCGATGCACAATGCAGTTCCGTTTTGGTTTTCGGACCGTTTTCAGTGTGTATAAAATTTCCATTTATTTATACAAAACAAAACAAAAATGAATTCGGTGACCCTATCAATTTTACATTAGTAAAACAGTAATTTCAATTGCAATAACATATCTTTTAAATTAAAGAAAATTCGTAAGACAGGATTTCCAGAAATAATAATTTAAAGTCAAAATTGCTTTTTTACGATATTTACGTGTATTCTATACATTTTTTCTCCAATACTCCGGATATTTTAAGCGCAATATCTCAGAAAATATATGTACAAAGTTACATGTATAATGTTTTCGATGTTCACCTGTTACCATAACAAGCATAAAATTGAGAGAGCGTGCATGCAACAGGATAAAGCAAATAGTTTGCTCTTTTCATTATTTGTCTATTTGTCACTAATGAAAAAAGACTATTAAAATAAATATTGCACAAAGGAAAATGATATTAGAACACTTATATTTAGGTACTATTTATAAATTATATGCGTTTTTGTCATTTTGGTGAATTTGCGTAGGAAGACAAATCTTTGATAGCCTCTAATAATTTTTTTTCACTTCATTTGTCCATCTCGAGACGATTTAGGAGCTTGATATTTTTTATAGGCACATGTCTATTATTAGAGTCATATGTTGACCTCTTAAAGTCTCCTTGTGTTTCTTTTATTATTGTCTTGCTTTCAAATTGACGTATTTACAACATCTGTTTCTATTTACACAAAATCAGACCAATTTTGCCTCTGAGCGTTAATTGTGAAGGATCGTATCAACACTCTGTGTATATTTTTTTTTTACCGCAACATATCTAGGTTTCTTTAAGATTTTGTGACAAACATGTTTGTTTTGTGGTTGATATGAACAAATGACAAACATAAACAGATTTAATATGTTATCATTGCCTGCATAATTTATTTTTTAATAAAAATGATTTGCTTTCTTTGATTAACGTCAAGTAATAAATAGTTCATGTACATTCAAGGTTAGGGGAGAGTTGAGCGTTCACAAACATGTTAAACACCGCCACATTCTTTATGGGCCTGTCCCAAGTCAGGAGCCTCTAGTTCAGTGGTTGTCGTTGATTCATGTCTGTCATATTTGTTTTTCGTAAATTATTTTATTATAAATTAGGTCGTTAGTTTTTTTCAATTGAACTGTTTCATATTTTTCATGTCGGGGCCTTTTATAGCCGACTATACGGTATGGGTTTTCTCATTGTTGAATTTGAACTTGGGTGGATAGTTGTCTCATTGGCAATGGTACCACATCTCCTTATTTTCATATAAACGGAAATATTTTAAATTTAAAAGTTAAAATTTCAATTAAAATATTGGCCAAAAAGTGCTCTAATCGTACCCTGTTTTTTTTCTTATTCTTATTCTTCTTTTGTATAGCATCTTATTGCTCATATATCGCCCATGACATTGATAATGTTATTTATACAAATGTATTATGATTGAGGCGTTACACTTACCAAGCGTGATATAAATAAAACCTTGAGTGTACAAATATGGTCATTTATTAACACCATGCTTTATAAATTGGAAATATTTTGATATCACTAGACAGAGAAAAATGTTGTTGAGTCTGTAATTTAATTGTGATGTTGAATAATGAACCTAAAACTTGTTGAGATAGATAAGCATATGGGCAAAGCTGACAACCCTGCCATGTTTAAACAATGCAGAAGTCAAATTACAAAGCATACTGTCATTAATTTGTGGATAAGAACACATGTTTTGGTATGTCACTTCTAAATAAATGAAAGATATCATAGTTAATTTAAAGGAATTCCTACTAACGTCGATTATACATAAATTAAAGTAACAAAGTTAAAAACCGATCTTTTGAGTTAAGCCAATTGCAACTGATTTTTACAGTTTGTTCTTATGTTGTACTGTAACACAACTGTCCCAGGTTAGGGAACGATTGAGCGCTCTCAGACATGTTAAACCCCGCCACATTCTTTATTTGCTTGTCCCAAGTCAGGAGCCTGTAGTTCATTGGTTGATGTTGGTTCATGTCTGTCATATTTCTTTTTCGTCATTTTTTTTGTTATAAATTGGGCCGTTAATTTTCACAGTTGAACTGTTTCACATTTTTCATTCAGGGCCTTTTATAGCCAACTATACGGTATGGGTTTTATTATTGTCGAAGGTCGTACGGTTGCCTATAGTTGATTACATCCACTTTATTTGAACTTTGGTGGATAGTTGTCTCATTTTCATATCACATATCCTTTTTTTTTTTATAAAAACTAACCTAAAGAAACACCTTTTTGCACTTGAAAATAAATTTCGTTCCCTCACCGGTATCTGAACTCGAACTGTTGTGATATTAACAGAATGACCACCTGCACTTTGTCCAGTGCATCAACAACCGGTCAAGTAGCTATAGGCTATAATTAAAAAAAAACCTTCGCTAGTCTGGTTGTCAACGTATATTTATAGGTCAAAGTACGGCCTTCAACACGGAGCCTTGGCTCACACCGAAAGCAAGATATAAAGAGCCCAAAAATGACTAGTGTAAAACAATTCAAACAGGAAAACCAACGGTCTAATCTACTAGTATATAAAAAACGAAAAACGAGAAACACTTAAGTTATGAACCACACCAACAAACGACAACCACTGAACAATAGGCTCCTGACTTAGAACAGGTGCATACATATGCGGCGGTTTAAACGTTTTGACAGGCGCCAACCTTCACCCTTACCTGAGATAGTAGTGTAACATTACAACATAAAAAGACACACTATAAAATATCAATTGAAATGGCTTAACTCGATCAAAAAGACATATAAACAAAAAAAGTAAACATACATAGTTCGTTTCTATTTCAACATGCCTTGGAAAATAAGGTTACTTGTCAAACACGAATATTGACATTTTGTAATATAATTTCCAATCCATTTTCATATTACCTTAAGTGGTATAAATAAATAGGTACGGTAAATCGACCTCACGGAATGTATTAAATATGACCAACATGATGATGATGATGATGATGATGATGATGATGATGATGATGACATGTTAATGTAATATGAATATTAACCCTGCTGTGTACTAGAACGAAACGCTGAGCCGGATTTTTAACATGCTAGGTCACAAGATAACAGTCCACTGGAAGACATGTCACCTTACCGGATACATTATTGTGACTCATTTAAAGAGAATACGTCATTATTAATGTTTTAAAACTTTATTATAAATCATAAGTATACAAGTCGTATTCGAAATATAATGTATACATATATATATATATATGTACATTGGTATCGATCCAGTAATGACTGTCTGACATTTCTCTCTCTCTCTCTCTCTCTCTCTCTCTCTCTCTCTCTCTCCTTGGCAGACAGACAGACAGACAGACAGACACACACACACACACACACACAAACTCTTATTTGTACAGATATAACACTATGCAGCTTTCGCAAAAATTGGTAGAATTTTTTTATAAAGGAGTAGGTGCATTAAGGCCGATTTTGACTCAAGAATATAAAGTTTTTGACAACAATTTCAAATTGGCACATGATGTTTGGAAATGCATAGAGTCAAGACAAATTTTATCTGATGACGTCACAATTACGTCATGATATTTACCGTTTTCATGAAAACGCTGAAAAGTACAGGGTGCGCACATACTTTGCCATTTAAAATATACTTAAAATTTGATGAAAAACAAGGAAATCAAGAAATTTTACAAAATATTCAAATTTCGTTTTGGTTTGTTGCCATGGTAACTCGTAAAATGTGAAAGTTGTTTTATTTTCTGAATATCTTGTACTTTAGTCCAGTTAGGACAAATTTTAAGAATATGTAATTGTGATAACTTTTAAATTTGCAATTATATTTGGGCCAAATTAGTGCATTATTGTCCTTACTCCTTTGTTTTGTTAAAAAGTTGTATCTAAATGAAGTAAAAGGGTAAATGACCTCATTCTTTTGAAGAGAAAATAGTTTCTTGCTTATTAAGATAAAAACAGAACAATATCAATAGATAAAAGTATTGCAAAGGAAAAGGCACTCTTCTGTTTCCTTGAACCAAAAGCATATAAAAAAAATTAGTGATGAGTGTCAGTAGATGAAGTAAACGGCTGTGCAACAGAATTTCTTACTCCTTTAAAACAAGCTATATATACAATAACGCCATGGGACTTTTGGGTGCAGTTTATGTCGCCCTATACATTGTATACTGTCCGATTTCATCGGATTCAGTATCTAACAATTGACTCACATTAATTTCGATGGATAATTAATCACATTAAATCTTTTAGTTTCAATGAAAAAAATATGTCCGGAATAAAAACCTCCTCAAAGTGTTTTTGTTCTTTCAGAAAAAGAGGACGTATTAAGAACTTTCTCTGTCGAGATTTCGGCGGTACGTCCACTCTCGTATGACACTGGCTGTCTAATGTTTTCATTGATATCATCACTGTTTAGAATACATGTAGTACATTTAGTATGACATTTCGAAGGTATTTGATCTAGAAATTCGTTGCTTACTTCTTGATTTAAAATACATGTCTGACAATTATTTACATTGTGTATACTCCCATAATGCGTCGGTAAATTGCCATTTTCTGACACAGCAATATTGAAGCCGTTCGATTTCTTTCTTCTCTCACTAGACGTTCTGCACACATCCGGTATCGAATGTATTTTCGTCGATCCAGTAATAAAATGATTTTCTTGATGCACATTTAAGCAGTTGCCATTTTCATTCAGTTGATTTTGAAAATGTTGCTTTTGTATCAAGCCTTTTGAATTATTGTGTCTTATATCCACATGTTTACGAGGTAATAAAGGATTCAAATCTTTATTTATCAATGGCGAAACGGAGGATGGACTAGCTGTCGCAGGACTAGATATACCAGAGTCGCTTGAGCAAGCACGATTAAGTTTTCTAAAATTATCGGAGGAGATATTCAATCGGAACGGATTTCGAAGTAAGGTCCGGATTCGTTTTGAACTTTGATGATGCGACAAGTAATCATTGGAGCTGCCCGAGTCGCACGGCTGAATAGATATATGACTGTTGTAGCTCGATGAAATGCTATCACTGCATGATGAAATATCTGTTGACTTACTTTCTGAAGAACTAATTGAACTTATGTGTTCCGAGGAAGAACTTGTTTGCTTCTTAGGCATTGAAAGCTTTAGTTGCTTCCAAAACTTTTCTAGCTTTTTTGAATCGGATTCTCCTGGCCATTCGATGTAAGTAACACTATTTAATATCGCCTTGAGGTTCTTGTCGATTTTCATATTCGAGATTTCATCCAGTATAACTGGGATTATTTTATGTTTCAATTTTAACATTTCATGTTGTGCTTTCTGATATTCAAGTCGACACCATTCACTCTCTATATAACTCTGTGAAATAACCATTATTGTTCTTCTGCTATCTTCAACAGCTCTGATGATATTATTTGCAATTACTGGAAAAAAAGAAGAGAATCATATCAGAAAATCGTGCAATTGTTTTATCTATGCCAGATTGTGTTTTGCTCTAACTATTTATTATATACATTCTAGTAAACACAAGTAAATTGTATATGCTTCTGAGTATGACTTTAGTTGGAATTGCTTATTTCCCTCTAAATTTATAGATCGTTTTTTGTGCGATTCCTTTAGAACGTTATATTTGATACTGTTAAAAATATATATGCCATTGCCCTTATAGCTGAAAAATTCTCTTTAGAATGTTTTAACGATATTTGTGCAAATATTCATTTTATAAATGTTTTCTAAATAAGGTTATCAGGAATTAGCATGCAGCGTACACATATGTCTTTTTTTATCCGTAATGCCATTAATGCCATTATTTACGAGTACATATCCTAGTGAATTAAGATTTGAGTCGAGTGCACCTGTTACGTGCGCAACCTCAGTGTTAACAGGGTAGTGATACGGTAGTTGGAACTACCTTTTTTTTACCTACTAGGACGACTTGGCCACCGATGCCCCAAAGCACATTGACGTACCAAAACAATCAATTTTGTCATCACATGATTGAACGTCTTTTTGTAGTTGATCTTAATACAGTAGTATACTAGTTGTAATTTAGATAAAATATTCCAATGTTTTACGGAATGTATACAATTTATATGCTTCGGTGTTCTTAATATATGTTTATTCAAACTGTGTAGTAACTGTAGAAATTATATTATGTATGCAAACATTGATCGTATAAATTAGAATCTTATTTTTGCATGGATGAATATCAAGTTGCTTGGGTTTACAGGTCGTCTGCTTCATGTTCAAATTTTTATAATCTCCAACCAAATGTACTGTCCTACATAATCACGGGGATGTATTTTTTTATTAGGCAATAAGCATCGTGAACAAAAAGCTCAGATAGTTTCGCAAGAAAGGATTTTTATATTCAGCGACAATAACTTGTTAGGGTGCATTTAGTAGTTTCGAAACATCAGAGTCGAAGAAAAGTTTTAAAGTATGCAATATAGTTATTTAGAGGGGCATTGACTACGAATTAGACAAACTTTAATTAAAATATCATTTTATTTTGTTTCTAACATTTATAAAAGCGGAATATAGAAATACTATTTCGCCATTGGCAGTCAGTTTGGTTCAATTTTGACAAAATAAACAACATCGCTGACGTATTATTGTCTTGCAAGTCAATAATTCAAGTTCATTTGAATCCAAAGAAATGCAAAATTTAATTTGACCTTTAGTGGGGATGGGTAATGCATGTGTCCAGCTTGTGTTTCATTCAATAAAAAGAAAAGAATGTCAACATTGAAAATTGAAACAAGGGAGACACCTGGAATAACTATTTCGATTTCTTCGTGGTCCCACAAAAATCATTCTTATACAGGTAATCAATGATATACATATATTTTCAGTCTCTAATATGAAATCACAAAGACCAAGAAAAAAAATGCTATTATACAATTATTGCACGTGCATGACTGTTTATTTATATTTATATTTATGTTTATAAAGGGTTATATAACCGTCATGGCAGTCTTCGGGAATCATCTCGATGGATAATCAGATGGCGTCTAGTGTAAAATACATATGAAATGCTGACACATTATAACGAGTCCATACATTGTTAATTGTTTTTTTTTTTTTTGGGGGGGGGGGGGGGGGGGGGGGCTTTACGAATTTGAGCATACGTTTTAGTATTTTAGTTTTGATATAAGGATTTAGGTCAAATCGGTGAACACGAATTTGACATTTAATGCCCCTTTAATATTACAACTCACGAAGGCTCATTCACGATTCTTGTAGAACCGTAAAAACTGTTAAATTTGAATCCCTTCTGGAAAATTTAAATTGAGATTATTTACTAGTTTACTGTATGCATAAATTTGTAGTATTTTAACCTTAAAATGAAGTTTTTATTCAAATTAAACAAATTACCAGTGCACCAAGTACTAGTGACATTTTACATGTATGTTAACTTATGCATGTAATTAATGGTCTTTTGGTGCTTTGGCGTAGACTTGAAAAAGTAGTCTGTATAAAATAATTTACAAAAATAGAGTTGTTGTCAAGTACAACTTGTTTGCTGCATGTAATAACGGTAAGAAGCAAATGTAAGAAGAGAATATGGCCAGTATTCACTGACTTTGTTCCACTCGCAGATGCAACAAAATTCGAAAGAAAGTTCACGAAACCTAGTGAAATTTGAATACTAGAGACTAAACACTGAGATTAATTGGTCTCCTGACATTTTAACCCAAATTTGTTTCACTGACAGATCCATCAAAATCAGAAATGACGAAAACTAGTGAAATTTGAATACTGAAGACTCTAAACATTGAAATAAATTGGTCTACCAACATTTTAAAAGATGATATTAATATTTTTTCATAATGTTAATCCGTGTTATACACTGTTGTTGAAGAACATTGGGATACAAATATAGCAAAGTAAACATGATTTTACACATCCATAACCAAAATGATTGTTTTTTTATTTGCGAAAAAAACATAATCATTATTACTGGATATTGTAGTTGGTTAGCAATCTCCTTATTGTATTCCCTGTTTTGGTCCAGGAGTGAGTACCCCGACATCTTTCATAATTACAGTTTTGAGCTATTTTTAGCATTAAATATTTTTGTATTTTAACTACTTGTTCAGAAATTCGACACATTGTTAATACAATACGAAAGTACAAATTTGAAGGTGCGGTACTGTACTAAAATTGAAAAAATGGGCTGATGTGAAGTAGTAGAGATTAAATAATATTAACTGCATCTTGAGGCGAAACTGAAAGAAAAAAAAAGAAATGAACAAAAGCATTACCCATAATCCTTTACGGTTGGAACGTCGAATTGATCGAGATTTCATATGGAAGATTATTATGGGACGACCATTTGAAATTCTCGTCGGGGCCTGGAGGATCGGGCAAAGTTACTTAATTTCTATTTCCTACTAGGCCAGGATATTCATTTTCAAATTCCTCCTCCCTCTCCCGAAAATCAAATTGTCGTCCCCTTTTGTACTATCATCGAAAAAGCACACATATTATTTATGGACTATATCATTACTACTTTATGTAACTTACCGTCTCCTGGAGTAAAGTCCCGGAAGTGCATGCAAAGTTTGTATCCCATTTCCATCTCTAGTTTTGGATACAACTGTTTCAACACGAAATCTTGATCTGTCTTTGAAGACTTATATGATATGAAAGCGTCATAACTTTTTCCATCTAGAATTAAAAATTGTACAAAATATCAGCCATCTGTTTAGGACTATTAAAAGGGGAAGAGATTACACATGTGTATATATAGGTAGTATACCATAAATTGTTGGTTGTCTTAGTCGCCAGTTTAGGCAATTAGGTGATGACGATAGATCTTTGATAGCACCAGTCTAACAGATTCTAATTTTTAACTTTTAAAAAGACTTGAGAGGATGTAGACCTTGGATTATTTCTAAATGCCTTTTGTTTGTTTTTTATTTGTTCCGCTGGTACATGTTTGCTTTTCACAGCGGATGACCGTGAGGGCATTCCGGTATATTGTTATCGCCTAGATTTCCATTACGTAATATTCGTTTTGGGTTTTAACCGATCTATAAACATGATGAATACGTAGACATCATCAAGTGCAAACTAACATTCCTTATCGCTTGTTATAAATTCATTTCTTCAATGAATACCCATCAAATACTTTTTAAAGAAGATAAACTAATAATATTAAAATGTTTTGTTATATGTATATACATATAAGTAAAAAATCATTAATATCCATGCACACGCTTGCGGAAGAATATCTCAAGAACGTTTGCCATCTCAAGGAACGATAACTCTGCATGGATGATTAAACATTTTTTGCGTGAAAATACGAATGCCTACTCAAATCCATTCTATTAGAAAAATCGAATTATTACAGAAAAGTGACGTGTCCACCATGCACTTGCACTGCACTATTATTAATATAGTAGAATAGAACGATATACAAATCCATGAAAATTATATATACATGTAACAGTAATATACAAGTATTAATATAATATATAACAATAAACCAGAGTATACTGATTTGTATCACTACAATATAATAGTCATTATGGTTAGGATGAATTCCCTGTCATTAATTTATCATCCACGCACGAACTTGTCACAGAAAAAAAATATATCTGTACATTAACCTCACTTTCAGGTATAGAGATGTGATATTTTTTTCGTATTGTACTAACAATGTGTCATCCGATGTTCAGTACTTCAGTACTTTGATTTCATTGACGTATCTCACAACACATTTTTTTTATTCGTACTCCAGAAACTCGTTTCTTGTACATTTTAAGGGAGCTACCATTCGATTTTTATACTTGGGGCTAGGATGAAATTTGAAAAAAGGCAGGACAGGAGTTTCGAGTAAAAAAGGCAGGATGAGCAACTTGGCAATAAAAAAAAAGGCAGGATGACAATTGATGTAAAAAAGTCAGGATAAACTAATAAAAAAAGGCAGGACCGAATAGAGTGAAAAATAAAAAGGCAGGACAGAGATTACAACTAAAAATAAATACAGGACAACATTTTCCATCCTAGCCCCCATAAAAATCAAATGGTAGCTCCCTAATGGTGGGAACGTATATCACACAACTTCTTGTATTACAACTTCAGAATACTAGTAATTTTGATCATTGGGTTGCTTTCTCAATGAAGTATACCATACATCTTCTTTTATTCATATTCTAGAAACATGTCTCTTGCACATTTTAATCGTTTAAGGGGGGTACAGAACACCTAAGAAGTTAACTCTTTTAAAATAAGCTGAATGTTTTAATCACATACTAGTATTAAAGAGAAATAAAGTTTCTAAATGATCGAAATTAGTGTCTGTCAAACTGCTATATTTCCAAAGAAATTATTCCTGTAAATTGTGTGGTTCAAATTTCTTGCAATTTTTATATTTTTGTCAGCAGGTCAAAGTAAATATCTTGTCAATTTTTTATGAAAATTTAAAGAAACAAATCTATATTAGTCAACGTGTTGGGTATCCCCCAGGGGCATACGATACATTGTACTTACAGGAGAGGTAATGACGTTGCTAACGTAAAATGTTATTTTTCGCAACGTCAAACTGTAAAATATCGGAAAAAGATGCATTTTTCGACTGATTTTAATCTTTAGCTTGAAAGCGAGTACATATACTCCTCTTTTTTAAAATGACATTTGGTTTGATTATGTATGACGAATATGTGTACCAATTTTTATTTCATCGATGATTTTTTTTAAATTGGATAAATATACAGCAAAAAATGCCGGTTTTTTCTCAAATCATGAAAAAATACACAAACTTAGGGTATACTTATATAAAGACGATATTCCGAATGCTTTTACAAAAATCCGCTTGTGATTATCTTTTGAAACAAAAAAGTTAGGTATGTCTGTTCAAAGGATACCGTGAGAAATGTTCAAGAAACCGAAATTTTGAGTAAATGTCTAAATTTCGACCCCATTTATCTCTAAAAGTAATACATAAAGGTGTATTTTTTTTACTTATTTGAATTGACTAGGTTAAAATAGCTTGTATGCACATTTCCTATATACCTAAATATAACACAAGGTACTTAACTCGCATTTTTGAAAAATGTCACCCGGTCGCGAACTTCCGTTATATTTCGATTTCTCGGTTGTCAACCCACTAAAACTTGTTATGCCTTATATCTAAATTGATTTATCTACACAATGGTGTCTAACACGCCTACCTTTGTTGACGGAATCATTCGTAGCAGCCTCCCCCAATATGTCAACCGTAACTATTTTCGTTTACCCACAGCCGATTGGAAATATGTATGTTAAGTACCGTGTGTTATATTAAGGTATACACAGCCGATTGGAAATATGTAGTACCTTGTGTTATATTAAGGTATACAGGATTTTTTTTCAGTGACTAGTGCCTGTGCGTATGCCCTTAATTATTGCTTCATTTTACTCATACTCTAGAAATGCCTGTCTTGTTTACCTAAATATTCCGTGTTTTTTCAAGGACGTATACGACACACGTGTGTTTGTATTTCTCAATTTAGGTAACTACCATATGATTTTTATGGAGGGGGGGGGGGGCTAGTATAAAAAAAATGTGTCCTGCATTTCATTTTAGTTGTAATCTCTGTCCTGCCTTTTTAATAGTTTATCCTGACTTTTTTTTACATAAATTGTCATCCTGTCTTTTTTTTTTTGCCAAGTTGCTCATTCTGCCTTTTTTTTAACTCAAAACTCCTGTCCTGCCTTTTTTCAAATTTCAACCTATATACAGCCCCCCCCCCCCCCCCCCCCCCCCCTAAAAAATCAAATGGTAGCTCCCTAACCTGTAAAACCATAACATTTTTACTATACTGTTAAAATAACCACTTTTTACTATACTGTCAAAATTTAAGACAAAATCCAACGTTTACATCTTTTAATGAGATTGCTAAAAATAATCCTTTATTTTCAAATATTTCTGATACTAAAAACTAGTGGTCCTGCTAATTTTAAATGCCTTAAAGTAAAGCCAAGTGAAAAACGAGTTTATTGTAATAAACAAAACAGTCTTTGGAGCTGCGGACAGTGGACTATAAGTAATTTTTCTTGTGTATATGTATGCATTCAAATCGATATGTTTTGTTGTTGTTGTTGTTTATGATTAGTATTTATTATATATGTTTTTTATGACGATAAAGAATTGGTTAAATGTATTCATACTATAGAAACACGTTTCTTGCGCGCTGAAATCGTTTGGTTGCCTTCTGAATGACGTATACTATACACATATCCTTTTATTTACACTCTAAACACACGATATCATACGTTCTTATGAAAGACAGTGTTACTTAAATGTACCTTCATAATGACATTTGTGTTTGTTATTCAAAATGAATGTCAAGTTATAATTATGTAAACCACTGTAATTGTGAATTTTTAATTACTTTACAGGTACAATCAAATTGCATGCTATATAAGCAAAAAACCGCATCGATGTTCTTGCGGTAAGGTCTAAACCTAGTAAATGCAGAGGAGGTCGCTCGTTCGATCCTTGTAAAATGATATATTTACTGGTAGCATTTAGCCAATCCCATTGTGCATGAATGTAGAAGTATGATAAACTGGCCAGTTTGGAATCAGAATAATTTCCGCTTGGAAATTACTTGTAAAATCACAGACTTAGTACGTGAAGAATGACAGTCAACGTTTCAATCTTGTACGAAATAGGACAAATAAACACCACAAAACAATGTTCTCGTCCTGAATATCCTTGAAAAATTGGTTTTTGAACTTAAATTAGAATCAGTTCATCTGTTATAAAGCAAGATTGTAAACTTCAGTTTTCTCTTTTGATTGTTTCATATTTTACCATCCCGTAGGCTTCGATATAAAAATAAGAAGATGTGGTAGAATTATCGATTAGACAACTATTTACAAGAGCTCAAATGACGTGCGTATAAGCAACTATACGGCCTTCATCATTGAGCAAATCCATACCATAATAACACAGACATGACAAAATGTGAAACAATTCAAACGAGAGAAATAATTTCCTGATTTATTACAATACTGATCATTTATATGTTTCGGAGTTTATTGTGACTTCCATTTTAATCACTGAACTAGTACACAGTTTTGTTTAGGGGCCAGCTAAAGCCCGCCTCCGGGTGCGGGATTTTCTCGCTGTGTTGAAGACCCATTGGTGGCCTTAGGCTGTGTTCTGCTCTTTGGTCGGGTTGATGTCTCTTTGACACATTCCCCGTTTCCATTCACAATTTTATGATACAAACCAATACCATAAAACAAATACAAACGTATTGCAGACATGAATCAACGAAACTGAATAACAGGCTCCTGACTGGGACAGACCCATACAGAATGCGGTGTGGTGAAACAGGTTTGTGAATGCTCAACCCTCCCCTAACCTGGAAAGTGGTGTTACATCACAACATATGAAAAAACTGTAAATATCAGTTGGAAATGGTTTAACTCAATAGATTGGTACGAAGAGCAAAAACAAACCTAACTTACATAAGAACGAAATACACAAAGTACGGTCAAAGAGTTACATAAAAACTAAAGCTAGCTCAAAGCCAATTAAAACTAATAGATACCCAGACTAAAGCTTACTATTTGTTAGTTTCGCTTATTGTTGTTGACCGTGAAGTAACAAATAGTTGTTCCTTTGGACTTTCGTGGATAGTTGTGTCATTGAAAATAATACTGTCCTTTTTTTAATATTTTATGCTTCCGTTTACGTCCTACGTACATGACTATGGTCTTAAGAAAACATTTAAGATTTCCCACATATTGTTTTATGGAAGACTTTTATACCTATCATTTGATTATTTTACATCCTCTCTTAACGCGGTAGTAAATTACCAATTTTTTGCCAGGCCCATCTGTTCAAATTTTAATTTTCAGTTAATATTTGTTTTTTAAAGCAAGAAGTCTGGAGGATGTTATCTTATTATGCTAATTAATTTAGATAGAATGCCAAACTTCCAAATTAATTGTTAAATAATACGGATAGAATGCGAAACTTCCGTTAATAGTTTAACACCTAGCTTACCGTCATCTTCGTAATGTTGAAAATAATGTAAAATCTTCATTACAAAAATCCTTCTCTTTTTCCAAATACAGTAAGGTAATATAATCATCATGCCTATAAGGAGTGTTCCTATGGCAACGCACACACCAGTCACGTACCAGTGGTATAATATTTCATCTTCTGAAAGAGAAAGTTAAAAGAATATCGGTTTAGTGTTGTTTCACGTTGATAACATATTTTTTTAACAAATTTGCAAGCATTGCTTCGAATAATTACCAACACAGAAAAAAACCCGGATATGTTTCCTGAACATTTTTTCCTTAAATATGCATTTGACCTCTGGACTCCAAAGAATAATTCCCCTTTTAGAGAAGGTGTTTAGTATTTTGTACGTATTGCCATAAAATATAAGATTAAAGAACTTAAGGTTAAGAGAGTGCATTATTTGTGTTCTTCTCAAAATTGACAGATCTAACAAGGAAGCTACTAATACATGGTTAAGGTCATCCCTTCAATTTTTTTCTTCAGAAGCCACCATGAATATCTGAATGTATCACAGATAATCAAGGAAATGTTTCCTTTAGTGTATCCATGATCAGTTCCTCCTTTCCTTGTTTATGATTTATTATACACTGTATAATTCGACTTATGATCTGATTTTTACTTGAACACCAAAGGTGCATTCATCTCAGGACCGTCTCCAACTACGCTAAATTTTTCATTTGCTATATATAGTGTTTTCATGAAAATTTGTTTGTCATGTTAATCTTTATCATACTTTTGGTACAATACGTCATGTACCAACAAATCTTTTAAATATAAGGATACCACTACACCAATGAATAATTTTGATAAAATATTTGATGGCAGTCTTATCTTTTCATTCAACATTTGTATAATTCAAGTGAGGAAGATAGTCAAACACCGTATTGCCTTGTAGGCTATATATAGTTAAAAATAGATAACAAAAAGACATAACTTTTAGACAAGATAACATAAAATTTGTTCATCTAACTATGGCTTTTAGAAGAAGTCTAGCTCTTTAAGGGGGCAGCGAACATCTAAGGGAGTTAATCCTTTAAAATTCAGCTGAATGTTTTAATCATTTACTATTAGTAAAGGTAAATCAAGCTTCTCAATGTTCAAATATAGTGTTTGTCAAACTGCTATATATCCAACGAAATTATTCATGTAAATCGCGTGGTTCAAATTTCTTGATTTTTTCAGGTATCTAAGTAAATATTTTGTCAAAATTAATTTTATGAAAATCAAACCAGCCAAATCCATCTTAGTCAAAGTTTTGAGTACCCCCTTCATTCAACGTACAATGTAAGTTTACTAACTGTCACATTTTTATCTTAACAGTTTTGTCATAGTTAAAGTACATAAGTACTTCATCAACTAAACTATCCTTAAACTGAGAGCACTCTCATTAATTAAACTAAGTCGAGTTGTCCCTTTTCGTTATTTATCAACGTTCACCACAAATGGCATACACCATTTAGTTCTAATTGTTTTAACTGAAATGCATATTTTTCATCTCTTTCAAATGTCAGCGAAAATGATAGACATAGACTTAAACATAGAAGTATTATTCAAAGTCAGTGGTTATAAATTAAAAATACATTTTGTTACATAGGCTGTAATTTTGCTTTTTTCAGGCCGAATAAACAATATACATCAGTTTACTGTCAAATGGTGAAAAAAAACATGGTAAGGACTTGTAGGTAAGGACTTTATTTTTCTTTTGCTTTTTTATACTTTGAGTTTATTGTGGAGAAATTGTGACTTTAATAGCTCTAACCGAAAATTGGTAAACAAAAAATAGGGTTTACTGTCACATGATGAAAACATGATTAGGGTTGGTAGTCAGGGCTTTTTGTTCTATTTTAAATAATTTTTTATTCGAGTTTATTGTAAAGAAATTGTGACTTTAATAATGCTTAAATGAAAAATTGTGACAAAAATTGGGATTTTGGTATATAATTGAATGATTCGGGTGACAGAAAACACGCATAATTTTAATTTGGCCTTATCAGTAAATCAAAACGTGCTGATTTGAAAGAAAAATAACCTTAAAAACACATGCATCATTCCCACATGATATTTCTACTTGTAAATGTTAGTCATGAATGACGTCCAGGAAACTACATGGTATTATTATTACATAAATGCAAAAATAGAGCTTTGTCATGTTGATGAATTGTTATTTCAAAAGTTTTCATTATACTTTATTGAACTTATATTTTCCATTTTATCTCCTTAATCTCGTTCATTATGATTTATTTCGAATTGACAATAAATCTGTTATTAATTATTTCACTGCATATGTAAATCGGATCCAACAACATATCTGTAGTAAAATAAATTTAAAATAAACCACACATTAATTAAAATGTTCTATTTAAACTACTTAAATTGAAATTTTTGCTTTTATTTAATTCCTAATAAAAATAGATTCCCCTACAGTAAATGTAATCTATTAATTTTTATACGTGTATATAACCTATCTCGGTAGTATATTTTCATTTTGTTTTACTCAAACTATTACGAGTAGATTAATTTCAGTATCAACAGGATATCGTGTTTGAATCTATAATTTCAAAATACGACTGCTGGGAGTGGACAACCTTGTAGCAGAACATATTATATAATTTATGAAATATATCACCTGTTTTATAACACCTTACATTTCACAATTTACTAGTATATCAATTTATGACAAATCCTTTCAAAAAAATCCAATGATATATCGTATATATGAATACATGTAAAAGTGTGAGATTGAAATATACAGCAATGAGACACAAACCAAAAGACACAAACATACAAAAAACATCTCGGACAACATTCAGTTATCAATAATCAATACACAGTAACAGTATATTTTAATTTTAAACTTTCCCAAGTCCAGATAAAGATGTGAATAAATTAAACAGAAACTATCTGCAATCAACACCAAGTTCTCCAAATAACAAAACATTGAGATATGACATGCAACAAATCAATACATGCGTAAATGAATGTTTGTAGTAATTCATATTGTACATTTGTGCATTGATAATTTTTCATTTTAACTGTTTACGGAGAAGGTATAAAAAGACCACATTTTAGACCGTTGAATATGAAAAAGAAAAAGAATTATTTATCTATACAATAGCGCCCTACAGAGGCTCACAATATATCACTCTGAGATTTTAATAATAAAATTTCTTTAATTTGTATTATTATAAATGTATTAGCTTTCAAACGTTGGGAATTTCTCGGAAAAATGAAAAACTGCCAAAATAGCTTCATTGTAATGAAGTCTTTAAATCTAGTTCGTCTTGCCATTCCTTGATAACAGTTTGTTTGTATCTGTAATAACACAACTTTATAAACAGTAGTGCAAATTTTATGGCGATATTCTTCATTGATTTAAGGATACGGTGTCTACGTTATTCTAATGGTATTATATAGCTTCACTTGCTGAGGGTTCCTATAATAAAAGTAATGCTCATGTATTAGAGAGTCGAAAGATTCCAAAGCAACATTCAAACTCATTAGTCCAAAACATACAGATTACCTACCATTTCGAGCAACTATTTTGGTTGTACAATATGGTCCAGCAAAATCAGAATCGCACTTGCATTTAGAGGTGCCAGTTTTTTTGTCAATTATTTTACAGCTCCCATGCACCCCACAATCTCTCGTACATCTTTCTTTACAAAACGAACCAGTATATCCAAATTCACAAAGACAAGAAAAAATCAGTGCTGAATCAGTTTTTAAGCACACACCCCGTTCACATATTAAGCCATAACCACAATCAGGATTTAAATCAGAGCAACTATAATTATAGCTGTCTGTGTAACTTTCAACACATTTCCCTCCATTTTGACAAGTATTGCGACATTGATTCCATAACGTTTGTCGACTTTGAAAGTTTTCGGGATTGTTATAAATTGTTGCATTTCCTTCAGATGTTTCGTTGTATTGATTCGGATCGGTTACTACTTCAAATGATTGGTCCATGGAAGAGTTTTTCGGAACCCTATCATCTAGTCTTGTAGTAGTATGGTGTCGTCGAGGCATGAACAGAATATTTGACCTAGTTTTATTTTTTATGTTATCTATTTCGGTGTCACACCATCTTCCAGTAACATTTGCAGGACATACACAGCTAGCATAACACGTACGATTATCCAATACACAATGTCCACGGTTGCAATTTGTAAAAACACAAAAGTCTAAACAATTTTTTCGAGGCGGTCGAAATTTGGTTTTTCCAACTGATCGTCTACGAATAATTGAAGGATTTACTATGTAAATATGAAAAATAATCGCAAATACTACATGCAGCCAAGAAAAGTAAATAAGCATGACGGAACCAGTCAACGCTACACATACTAACAGTCCATGAATAGTATATAGTTCTACATGATGTCTTAAAAACTAAAATTTAAAAAAAAACGGTTATAAACCGAACAAACAAAAATAAATGTTTTTGTTGAATTTCACAATATCATAGACTCCATTTTATGTTTTGTACTAACGAAAACATGTCGTTAAAAGTTCATATAAGTTGTTCTCTTACAATTCGAGAAGTTTAAGACACAAAAGCTTAAGTACTATACTCCATATCAAGATCATGGTTACGGCGTTCCATCCTCAGCCAAAATTAAGATAATAAGTAAAATTACAAACTCCGCGAAAATAATTACAACTTCTTTTGTGTCAAAACAGAAAAAAGATATTTAGTAATAAAAAGCGAATACACAGTAGATTTGTCGTCATTTTACCTGTGGGTCATACTAATTTATCATACTTGACACATTGTGACGTGAACAATTATATCGGAGCCTGATGTGGGCTCAACTATACTAATTGCACAATTCATCAACAAAATTTTCAGATTATTTTGCCGTTGGCAATTTACAGATTTAAGTGCATTTTCTATTTTGTTACGCAAAGAGATTATTTACATGGATTTTTTCTTAAATTTTTAATGTACGAAGCTAAGACGAGATAACTCATTTGCTTGACATCTACTGAATATATTAAACTTTTATACAGTACATAAAATTCATATAAGAAAGATTTTTTGAATATTTTAATTTTGTTTTAATGTTAAGTTTTAACAGAATGTTTATAAAACAATTATAATTTATAAAATACAGGTATCTCTATATTATGTATATTGATAACGTCGTTGTCCGGAGTTTGTCCTGTCACATGTAACATATTAAAAACCATAAAAATACTAATTACTTGAAGTTTTATACTTAGTTTCGCAGGTATGCTGATATCGAAAATCAATTTTTCCTAATAATGGGGTCTTCAATTCGTCAAAATGTAATAGTTCTCAACCTACGAAGATGTATGAGTGGTTTGTTTTTAAGCATTTATATCATGGAAACTGAAAATCTATTTTGAAAAGTTTGAAAATTAGTTTCAGTAGACAATTTGTAAAATTCAAAAGAATAATTGTGTTCCTGTTTTGACAAAAATTTATGGTTATGTGGTCATAGTACAAAAAGATAATCTAATATTGACGTTAATTCAGCTGAAATCGGAAACTTAAGGTATGTGTATAGAAAATTCAATTATATTGTAATAATTTCTTGTTCTAAATGGAGTTTTCAATTTCATAATATATTCAGTTTCATATTATTTTTCAATTTCATAATATTTTTCAATTTCATGTTATTTTTCAATTTCATATTATGTTTGAATAATGGATAGAAAAACCTATCCCAAGACAACTGTTTGATATGTCTTAATATAACGAAATGACTCAGGGTCATTGAAGACTTTCAAAGATGAATCGCAGGTCAGACAAACGCCATAGATTATATTAAATACGACACAATAGACCGAATCTTAAAAATTGATGTTAAAATCGTTAGATACCAATTTAGTCGTTATATCTGTTATCGATTGTTTCCTGTCCCGATTGTGACATTTTGACTGAGTGTGAATTTGCAAAACATGGTGATGCATGCTAAGCAGTAGACACTTACCCTGTCAACGCACTCGATCTAGTTCCTCTTGGAGCTCATGTGATGCCCCCCTTTTTAGTGTGTCGCTTGATTTGTCTCTTCTTAATCGATTTACGAGGTTTGAACATTCGGTAAACTACTGTCGCCTTAATCTGGTACATGTGGCGTTAAGATTACGGTCTGATCTTGAGGACAAGAAAAAGCACATTGGCATTAGACTGTTTGGAGAAGATTTGTAGCGTATACCAAACTCTTTTGATATGTTTTTGCAAATCTTATACGGTGCATAAGAATTGCTAGAAAGTGAAAGTAATGGAGACATCGATATTAATCCTAACGAGACACGCATTTTGTAAACCTCTATGATAAGGAAACTATCTACACAAAGCTACCAGATCAAAATTGTTTCCGTTTTCAATAAAGCCCTAGTCATAACCATTGGTAAAACAGATGAAACCCTTTTCCGATGTATTTGTGAAGTGTGTTATAAAGAAGTCAGACCATTTTTAGGACGGATAAATGTTCTTTTTGATCACAAGAAAACGCACACGAGCAGTTTCGATAATTAGCTGAAAAAATGTTATATTGTATTGGCCGATAATAAGGCAAATCCAGCAATATTTCTCCCTGTTGACCTTATCCTTCAGAGTTTTTATTACCTTTTTATGGTGACAGCAGGTAGATATTCTGATAAAGATGCTGTTAGAAGTGACCAAGAAAGTGACTTTGATAAAGATGGTTTATATGTCACGAAGAGGCGGACAGACGTATACTAGTAGTATTATATGCCATTCACTGTAACAAGAATATGAACATTGAAAATATTTTCGTAGCTGCTAGAAATACAAATGTGTTAGTCCTTTTATTAGAACATTACACATCGATACAGTGCAAAGTAAGAATGATTGCAGGTACGGCAAAGCTACAAAAGTGTCTTTTTCAAAATCTACAGTAGTTTGCCATCAGCTTGATTAGAGCTGGTCGTTCATTCTAAAACCGGTTTTGATACAAATTCATTTCAGCTTTTAAATTTTGACAAAAAACAATTTGATGACCGATATTATAGAAGTTAAACTAACACTTACAAAGCAGTTTACAACAAAACATTCTTGTTACGACGTGTATAGCCATTAATTCGGCCCGGTCAGAAAGTAGTACATACTTTAAACAAAATAGTAGCTACGCATAGCTGTACCTTTGTCAATAAGTAAAATATTTGGGTAATTTTTGTGTAAAAAAAAGCTTAAGGAATTGGGATCACTGTAGAACCCTTATTAAAAGTCTCTTTTGAATAATATAAAAGTATATGAAATAAGATAGAAGGGCATATTTGTCCTGTTGCTCAGATCAGAGGTACATGTTTTTGTACTACCCAACTTCCGGGAACCAGTGCGCTCTAATATACAATTAAAGGTATGTTTATTTTTTCAGCACAGGTTTTGACATGAGATGACTATCACTTTATTTGAACTTAAGACAAAATAGCTATGAATGCTTGACTTGAAGCTACAGAATTTAATATAAAAAACAATGGGCTATGAATTAGTGGTTGTATTCCTCTAAACATAGACTAGGTAGAACGAATAGATAAAAACTTGTTTTATTTCACAAGTGAAACATTCCAGAATTATTGCCTCCTTCATGTTATGCTATTAATTGGCATATCAAAAGAATGCACTATCAGGCATTGATATGGAAATACTGAGCAATTAACCAAACTTGCCTTTAGTAGAAGAATTTTGGTTTAAAATTCAAAATAACAAATGTTTACCAATTTTGATGACAGGATGTCTCATACCAGCTCCCTGCATAGAGATGGTTATTTGTTACTGTAAAACGGGATGTAGGAGTAAAAACTATCATATGCAAAGATATGTAACTGTTAAAGTGTCAAATTTCAAGGATTTGATGTAAATGAAGTTAAAAAAAAGTTATTTATTTGAATAATCTAAAGTGATATACATCTATAACATGTTTGATTAACACTTATTTTGAATTACATATGTAAGAAGCTAGGGTTCCCACTCTCTATTTCGCTATTCTGTTAATTCCATTTGGTGGTAAAACTCCATTGACTCTTTTCACAAAAAATCTTACGATTAAAATTAATCGTTAGTTGTACTGAAATGTGTATGACTTTCGAATATTTTCACTCTTAAGATTTTTTGTGAAAAGAGTCGCTGAAACCTAATTATTCCTATTCATTGACTTACAAAATTGAATTTGGTGGCCATTTAGAAATTCAACATTGATTTTCGGATTTAGCATGATACCCAAATTGAGCTTAAAAACGATATTAAATCAAATCCCTTCAACATGTTCGTGCTTCAGGTTTTCGTTATCACAGAACTTACTATAACGGGTGTTGACTTCATGTGACTTTGGTGTGTGATAGTCTGAATTGAAGATACGACACAACTCAAATTAATTTTTGATATGTCTATCCTATGTATATCATGTTCAGTGATATTGTTTCAAATATTAATACATCACTTCCAATTTTTCGAAAATGTATTATTTCCAAAAATATTTATGTTCTTTTTTTTCTGTTTCAGAACTATTATTTTGAGAAATGATTTTGAGTGCATAGTTTTATCATCATGTTGTTGAAGACGATCATCCTAGAATATGTTTATGTGGCTGCATAAATGAAACCCAAAATATTCTTATAATTTATTTTCTAAATTTTAAATTTATGTGTAGTGTTTTGTTATCTGATTCTCTTTTCGTCTTTTTGGTCTTTGTGTTGTCTTTTTTTATTCGACTTATGGTATTTGATTGCTATCTTGGTGTTTTTTTTTCTTCCTTTAGAATGAAAAGATAAGACTTTTCATTATTTGAACTAAATTTGATTAAAAAAAAACGTTGCGTGAAATAAACTCATTCGTAAATCAGTGTGTTTTCAGTGTGGGCGAATGTTCTCCAATAATTGTAGATTTTTAACAAAGAGTGCACGAGCACCGTAAATAAGATTGCATGTCTTTAAAAAAATATGTTGTAGGACATTGTCTTACTTGATCCGTTTCAAGTACAGGCAAAATGTGTTTCTGAGCATAAATAAATGGGATTTTCTAAGGAGAATATTTTCTTAGTCAGTTTATTCTTCGTTTTTTTTACTTGATTTTTATCCGTACGGTTCTTATCTATATGTAGGCGTCCGATCAGTTAATGAAAAGTAAAATCTAATCTTAAACAAAACAAAGTTAAAGTACTGACTTCGAATCTTAAAGTGACATATGTCGAAACCAAACTGACAATGCCATGGCAAAAAAAAAAAAAATGAAAAACGACGTCAAGACAAAGAACAGTATACAAAAAAAAAAACCATAGAAAACTTATGACTAAGCAACACTAAACCCGCCAAAAAAAACGGCTGTTGTATTCATGTAAGTACAAACCGGTGACAAGTCTTATTCGGTAGGTCACATTCTCGAGGAAAAAATGACGTTAGACTGTGCATTAACTTTGACAGTGGATTATAATAAATAATAGGCTGTTAGAACAATAGACATACATCAGATAAATGGATTCAGGTCTTAACCTTTACGTTTTGTGTGTGTGTTTTTTTTTTTTTTTCTTCTTATGTTCAGCGGTTTTCTCATTGAGTTCATTGGTTTAATTTAGTATATGTTCAGTCGTTTAAATCAGAAATATTGGACGACCTTGTTATAACAAATGATCTGGAGAATAGCTCACAGTCATAGTAAAAAAAACACCAAGTTTAT